ATTGGCATACTTAGACAAGTCGTATCGAATGCAGGATGCACTTGACCACAAATACGCATGGGACGTGGCAACAAGGTGATCATCCGAGAGTAACAGTGGTATCAAATCCATGATAGTGTGTACAGTCATTAATGACTTTTATCGGCAGGATTAATTAGTAAGTACATGAACAGCATTGCCGTCTCAGTGCTCATACATGCATTGAAAAACGTTCAAACAAGCGCAGCGATTTTGCTATACCACATTTCGAAGTGCTGGACTTTACGTGATATTTCGGTTATCCTGTTTGGGCAACACTTTTTCCTGTCAGTTAGCGATATTGGAAATGAGAAGTCTCTTCTTTCATTTTGTATAATTTGACAAAAACGTAGGACTTAGACCACACAAGAAAAAAGTTACGTTACACTCAAGATATAAAAAAATATGACTAGAGTGTAATTTTGCTTTTCTTCCCACCCAGAGTGGAATTAAGCCGCAATCCTTGCTGTACATGTAGTAGAAGCAAGGTAAACGAACACCACTGATGATGTAATTATCTTATCCTTTAAATTCTACTCACATGTCAATCAATCAAATCATATTATGATATACAATTGTCGTGGTACCTGCTGCAATAGGTCGATTTTATTTCCGTATGGGGATATTATTTGTGGTCTGTGCTTTGTATCTGAATAGCGTCCACTTTGGAATTGAACACGACGCGGCAGGCGTACGTATATTAATATTGTTGTTGTGGGTTCTACTCAAAATTTTCAGGGCCGATTGACAAGCCTCCAGGCACGAGGGTATGCTATTGAACCGTCCAGTCCACTGCTGCAAATTCACACGCTGCTCGCTGGATGATGAAGCTTGTTCGCCAGGTTGTTCAATCTGTTGAAGACGATTAACCATCGCTGTTACTCCGGCTGTATCCAAACACCTCATGATCATGTCGTTTAGGCCATTATAAGTGACAGCGCCAGCACCGATAGCCCTGAGCTCCAGTTCGTTAACTATATCTTGCACAATAGCCGTCCGTGTGGAATCCATTTTGTTTACTGCTTGTAAGATGCTCTGCTGTAAGGACGCCATGTTGGAGAGGATAGCAACATAAGGAGAGACATCAGTTGGTCTGAGCGTAGAGGTTGTAGCGTCCCTCCTTGTAGACGATCCGCCAGCTCAGTAAGCATTGTGTTCGTGGTGAACAGCGAGGTGCAGAACAGGCCGTGAGGCTGGAAGCGTTTTCTTCAGATATTCGCGGAGGTACACTAACGATGCCAACGCGTACTCGAGGATATAATGAATGCTGGCCGGGGACCTCGGAAACGCGATGGATATTGCCTTTCTCAACTTGATCATCACAGGAACATAAATGCGGAGGCAAGCATGCAAATGTATGCAAAACTGTTGGTAGTCCGGTCACCGTTCTTCCAACGTGCATATCTCCTGCAGCCTCGTATCGTAAGTATGTGTTCTGAATCCTCCCAGCGACCAACCGGCTCGCAGGTTCACTGCAGTTGACGTTGGACATGCAGTTGAACCAGACGAAGCGAAAGTGGCTGCACCTTTGCGAAGGGAGTGGGTGCCAATTTCATCGGGTTTTACCGCTCTTCTCTTAAGCTCATTCGAAACATCGTCCTGGTTGAATATGCGCCCCAATTGCTTGCAAAAACGATCGTATTGGCTTCCCCCTAGGAAAAAGCGGCCATTGGCTTGATCAAATGTAAACATGCTCCAGTAAACACCTAACGCGAGAATTGGGCAAATAGTAGGCTCCAGTGGATTGGCATACACATGTCGCGGATCC